AGGGAGCTCTTGCCCGTCTCTCTCCTAGCACACATTCTGGGAGCTTCCTACAGTTCTGGCTTCAACCGGAGAGTAGAGGCGTCTTCCAGTCTCTGCCACTATCCTTAAGAGGGCTTGTCCCAGGGCAGACGTGTGCCTTCCCACGGTGCCCTCTTCGCTGTATGTCTCCATCCAAAAATGACATCAGCCCCTGAATCTAGTGTCACCTTAAGCCCTCTCTATGGATTCCCTTTCAACTTTATTACATGTGGAAAGACCCTGTTTTCCAGTAAGGTCGGATTCATATTCAACCTTCACCAAGGATTAGAACATTCAGAGGACACAAATCAACCCATAACATCAAGTTTGTGCTGTAGACTATAGCAGAATTTAGAGCTCAGGTATTCTCTGTCCACTTTACATCCCATGTTCCAATTCCAAGTCAGACATTAAAATTAAATGTCCAGAATATCAAGATTTGCATCTCAGCTATCCAAGATAACTTGCTATGTTTTGTTGTCCTTATTTAGTTGTGCCATTGTTTACTTTGACAGATACTCACCATGGACATGGACAGAAGCTAAGGAGCAGCTTAAGAAAGTAGCACAGACACAGGCATGGTGCTAAGTTGACTCTACACAGGTCAGAGGTGTCGCTGTCCCACCCTGACCCAGGTCTCAGGGTCAAAGCCTGTGGACTTTCAGAGTATGGTTCAATATATCTGTCAAATTCACTGATAAGAAAAAAATTCCAGAACATGCCAATAATAGCTTAAAAGATGAAGCTTTTGGTTTTTTTTACTTCAGAGTCCCTCAAATCTAATATCCTAATGAAGCTTCTCTGTTCATCTCATTCTCTTCTAGATTATATAAACATGCATAATCAGCAAGATAATCAGAATCGGTTATGTAGATCAGTGCTTCTGTGGAGAAATACACCAGCAGACAGAGATTTTCTATTTTTGTTATGTTAATAATGTTAAGGAAAATAACATCTCAGTGAACATAATGCAAGAATTTTATAACCAGAAGCAGAGCTCCCCAAATCATTTTTCTCTCCAACAGATTTCTGAGAAATCAGGAAGAATATACTGTATTTTAAGTACTGTTTTATTTTTTAAAGACAGATTTTCCTAAAAATCATAGTCATTATACCATCCTCACTATAGTATTAAGATAAAATTTTTATAATATTGTATTTTATCATTGCAGAATACAGCTAGGAATGCCAAATACTGGTATAGCTAGCACAAACAGGTAGAATTCCTTAGACATGTCTCTAAAGAAGATATACTAATAGTAGACAAACTTAAAGGAAAAAAATGTTTAATATCATTAATCGTTAGGGAAATGCAAATTAAAACCATGATGAGATATACCTGCCACATGTCAGCATGGCTGTTACCAAAAGACAAAAGAGGGCAAGTGTCAACTGGGATGCAGACATAAGGAACACTGCACATTGTTTGTGGGAGGGTAGATTGGTGTGGGCAGGATGAAAATTTGTAGAAAGATTACTCAAAAACTAAACACAGGGCTACCAAGTGATCATCCTGCAACCCCACTTCTGGTACTTAGACTTGAAATCAGTATGCCGAAGAGACATTGCCTGCCCTCATTCCCGGCAGCACCACTTACAACAGCCAACACCCAGACTCAACCTAAGTATCTTCTAATGAATGAATGAGCAAGGCGGATGCAAGCACATGCACAGAGGAAGACTATTTGGCCTTCACCAAGGAGGCAGTCATTTGCAACAACATGGCTGGAACTGGAGAAAATTGCTCTAAGTGAAATAAGCCAGGCATGGAAGACAAATCTTATATGTTCTGACTTACGTGTGGAATCTAAATAATTGAGCTCAGAGAAGCAGAGAGCAGACAGTGGTTAGCAGAGGTCTGAGTGGGGTCATGATGATCAAGAACTGAAAAACCTCAATTGGACAGGAGAATAGGATTTCTTTCTACCTTGAGACAGACTGCACAGCCTGGGGAGCATAGTAAAGGACCACACATTGTGCATTATGAAATTACAAAGAAGCACATTTTAAATATTCTCATCAGGGGGCCGTGGATTTAGCTAATTGGTTCCACCACCTGCTTTGCAAGCGCAGGGACCCGAGTTCGATCCCTGGTATCAATAAATACATAAACAAACAAACAAACAAATAACTAAAATATTTTCATCAGAAAAAGGCTGAGTATTTGGGGTGCTGGACAGATTCATTAGAGTAATTTATTCCACATGGTATCACTGTATTTAGAAATCATAACTTCACTTAGTGTAAGTGTAAAAATGAAAATGTAAAATAGAATTCTTGAATATACTAATTTAACTGGGCACTGAGGAAGGTAAGCTCTACACTGACAATCAAACTTTTCATTGAATTAATTTCATTGGATATTGTCTTCACTTCAAAGGATCAATGCATATATATATACATATATATATATATGTATATACATATATATATATACATATATATATGTATATACATATATATATATATATATATAACCATTTTTAAGACTTCCTGAAAACATAACTAGAGATTTATATAGCTAGAAGAATGCTTTACATTTTTAAAAAACAAAGCCAGGACCAGGAAAATAGCAGTGTCAGAATGCTTTCCTCACATGCTCAAACTTCGGGTTTGATTCCCAGCACTGAAAGAAAAATTCTTCAAAATAATATTCACTTTTTCACCTACATTAGTACTCTCTTATCTTGCTCCTTGATCATACTCAAATAAGGATTACTTTGGCCCACTACTACATTTTCTATACAGATATTATAAAGTATGTAAACAGTCTTCTTTGTTTGAATTGGGGGAATCGTGGCCATTTCCATGCTTAGTGAAAACCAGTCCTGTACTACGGCTTCCTTGAGGGTTTATGGTTGTCCCATTCCTCCAGTTGACTGAGCTGTGTCCTACTCTTTCTCCCCTTTCCTCCCCTGCTCCTCTCCGAGAGGGGAGGAGCACGTGTATAAGGGACTGAACAGTGCATGCTTGTGCACGAATGTTTGTGCACATCTTCCACTGCACCCAAGTGCCACCAATCTCCAGCCCTGGGGCTCAGCTGAGAACCTGGCAGTCTGCCCCCAGAACAACTCCCAGGGAGAGGATACGCTATTTCTCCCCGCTTGAGGGCCCTTCCTGAGAGGCTATCTGGACCTCAGACCTGAGCAGGATTCTGCAAAAGTCCAGGGTTGGATGCTGCCAGAGGCTTCTGAGCTCCTTCAGCTTCCATCCTCTTGTCTATCACCCAGGCTTCTCTGGGCTTCCTGAGCTTTCACTTGGGGCTGCAGGCTGATTCCCAATGCCTCACTTCTAAGACCTCATTCCTGATTTCATGGGTTTCTGCCATACTGGATTATAGACTCTGTAGCCTAACTTTTGTTCATATTTTTATTGGAATGCATTAAGCAGAAACTCCAGGCATTAACATAAGGCCTGGGGAATGTGGATACATTTTTGAGTATTCAACACCCAGCCTTAACCACAAACGAACCTCTGTTCTCTTCATGCTCTTTTCCATTTCACTTAGGAAATTTCTAGTCCCCAAACCTATCCAATCTTTCCTTCCTTGTTCTCTCCATTCCTAAAAGGCATTTTAATCCATCTGCTCCCTCCTGCCTGTGGCTGTAGAACAGTCAAAATTACCAGGTCACCCACAGATTCCTGCACTGCATCCAAGTGGTCTCTGCTTACACCAATGCCCTCCATGACAAAATTTCCAAACAAATCAGAATGGTGGTTGCAAAAACACGATCACATCATCACTTCTCTGACTGTGCCTCTCTGAGGCTGTCTACGACACTTAGCAAAATATCACCCAACCTCCAGCATGCCAGTCAAGGTCTGTGGAGTCTGGGCCTGGGTGACATCTCCAATCTCATCACCCTTTCTTATATATTGTTTCAATTTTAATTTTCTGTCTTCCCTTATATATAGGTAGGTTCCTGGAGATGAGGGCACAGTGTAGATAGTCCCGTGTCTGGAAATGGAAACCAACCCCTAATATATGGCAAAACATATTGGCTGAAAGAAAAGAGGAAGAAATAAGTACACTGGGAAGAACACAGGAAAGTTCTGGGCAGGGAAGCCTCTGCACTCTGAGGACAGATATGTCCTTGGTGATGGGCGTCTCCAAGCTGTGAGCCTCACTCCACAGACCTGCACCAATCGCCCTGGTAGTGGCACCTGCGATGAAAGTCATTTCCATCCCTGGAAGTCTTAATCTCTCACCCAAAACAGATGACTAAGGATAGCAAAGTATCATAACTGCATATTCTTCATTAAAAGATCCACATGCACTGCAAATGACTGCAACCACTGAAAAGGCAGCAGTGAGCACTAAATCAGTTTCCTGCTCTCTGATGACATTTACCTGGGCTACACACGGCCCACTCTTCTCCCCAGTTGCTCCAGGCGGTGGGAGGCCCAAACCCCTACAGTTCTTCCTATTACGCTCTGGACCAACACTGACCCCAAACTGACCCGCACATGGGGCTCTCGATCTCTGTCACACCCTGCACAGGCCTGGAGCCTAAGCAGCTGCCAGTCTCACCTAGGAGTTTGCGTGGAGGGCGCATACTCTTGGGCTGCACCCCAATTTACTGAGTCAGGCTCAACACAACCCGGCTTCTCAGGCACTGTGCCTGGGAACCCATCGCTCCCAAAGTGATCAGTGGGCCCCAGTGTTGCTACTCTCATGATGAGGAGTGCGGTACGAGGATCTCCGACACACCCACCAAGTAAGCATGGCACGAGGGTAACACACAGACTCCACCCTGCACTCCCACTCAGTCTGGTGTCAAACACACACTGACTAAGTCAGTTGCTTGATGAACTATGAAGAAATTGTACCAATTTTTTGAGTAGATGACTAAGTTTTCTTTCTTGATGCACCCAAACCAATCTGATTTTAAAATAAAGACCACTAAAATAGATTTTTTTCAACTTTATTTCTACTTAATAAGCAAATGTGACCAGACCAAGAAGTCCTGTGGACGAGAGATCACCGGGACACTTCTGCCTCTGCTGGACAATTACTCTGCGCTGGTGGTTCTGTTCATGGCTGGAAAGCCGGTGCTTCAGGGGAGGTAAATGAAATGACCAACGGAGTCACAAAATGCCATCTTCTCTTAAAATCTGAATACTATTTTAAGTACAAGCTAACTTTTCATACTGTGAAAATCATACCCAGAATTCTCAGAAATTAATTTTACCCAATTCCCAAAATTCCTTTGAAACTATACTGTGTGTATGTTGCTTTGAAATAAGTACGCATTGTGGCATGACTGACTGGAGCTAACAAACGTAAGCAGTGCTTCACATACATTTCATTTATTGTAGTGAGAAATCTTAAAATCTACTCTTAGGAACTTTAAAGTATATGACACACTGCATAGTTCTTGGCCACCACGTGTTATAACAAATCTCTCAAATTTATTCTTCCTCTGTAATTGATACGTTGTATCCTTTGGCGAAATTATCCTCAACTCTCTGCTCTCCCAGCCCTTCTTCACCAGCATTCCACTTTACTTACTGGTTAACTTTTTTTGATTCCACCTGTAAGGGATATCAGTCATTCTCTTTCTTTGCCTGGCTTACTTCATATAACATAACATGCTCCAGGCTCCTCCCTCTGTTGGCAAATGGAAGGATTTCCTCCTTTTTCAACACTGCACCCTACAGTGTACATATAACATTACCTGCTTACATCCGGAGGAAGCTGTTGCTGGCTGTGGGGAGGAGAACTGTGGTGAACACGGGAGTGCAGATCCCCTCTACACGTGGAGTTCAAATCTCTCCAGTATACTGATTTCCTTGGTTTTGGGTATGTTCTTAGAAGTAGGATTGCTGGATCTTCAGGTAGTCCAGCTATTTTTCATTTTTTCAGTAACCTCCATGATGCTTTAATTAATATTAATTTATAACCCACAAAATCTTTTATTATCACAATACAAGAAAAATCTGAGGTACTGATGACTAGATGATACAAAACATCTCTTTTTTCCTATATAGTTATCTTAGGCCCCAAATATTTTCTGAATATCGACTCTATTAGAATGTTAAAACATTTCTGTAAAGGTTATATTATTAAGCAAAAGAACACATATTATGTTCTTTGATGAAAAGCTTGAGTTGCAAATGAGCAGTGATGAAGTCGTGAATCACCACACAGCTTTCATTCTTCCCTTGAAAATGTTATTCAGAGTTACAGAGACTGATGATGGAAACAGAGGTAAAATAATGACCTTGACTGTGCTTTCTTATTTGAAACAGGTATGAGGTATATCAAACATTTTTAAAAGCAGAAAACATACTAGGAGAAATCGCCTTGCTTGTTGCTGGTGTCCATCTGCTGATGTGTGTCATCATCATTTTGTTCACCATGCCTTCCTTTAGCTCCTGGTACTTATTTTAAGCCTACCATAAATGAGGCACTTTATCAACTATTAAGGTGCTATACTCCAAACCCTAAGTGCCCCCCAAATGGCCTATGGATAGGAAGGGTGGGGTGCTACCAGGAAGGGGTGGGGCCTTGTGGAAAGAAGTTAGGTCATGGGAGGAACATACACGTGGGGGATGCTGGAAACCCAGGCCCTTCCTGACTGTTTATTTACTTCCTGACTGCCGTAGGATAAGCATCTCACTCCAACGCATACCTCCAGCCCTAATGTCCCTCCTTACCACAGGCCCAAGGGCAATTGTGCCAAGAGGCCCCAGTCTAAATCCTTTGAAACTGTGAGTCAAAATAAACCTTTCTTCCTCCTCAATTGATGACCTCAGGTGTTTTGTCACAGTAATGGGAAGCTGACACATGATTGTAATACAAGGCTCCTCTTCTAAAGACTCTTGCTGTCTCTTGGAGTGAAGGCCATTTCATACATATATTTCTTTATTTCTCCCACTCTTTTTAGTTCCCTGACAGAAAAATAATGACTGCACGATGAGTATGCAAGCTGATTTAAATGGAGTTAGAATATGTAAACTTTCCACCAATCATGAAGGAACACTTGCCTTTTATGTGGAATTGAGGTGCCTTCTCCTTGCCCTCTGTTAATGCATTTACAACACTGACTCGTTGTGCCTGGAAGAGCAGCATGCTACTCATACACTGTACAGCTAGGGCCTGGATACCTTTCAGATGTTTAAAGACTTGTCTCAGGTGCCGGTTTCTGGACCAACCCAAAATTAAGAACACGGGCATTTTCCTGCTTCTTAATGTAAAAAGATGAGTAATATAGCATGTCTATAATTCTCCCTTCTTTGCCTTGGAATATACTTATTACCCACCAACTCTGAACTTACCACATGATGTACTTTGAGCAAAGGAAGAAGGCAAGCATAACAGCACACCAGTTCAGAGCTAAGGCTTTACAAGACCTCAGTTTGCACTTCCTCCCTCTTGCAGTTTGGGCCTTCATAGTGAAGGTTCCAAAAGCCCAATTCTTCAACTGGGTTCTGGATCGAAGATGCATGGGCCAATACTGCAAGCTACCCTGCCTGTTAAGCCTCTATAGTTTGTCTGCCAGAGAGCCAGTTCAGCCACTTTTAAGTAAAGAAATAGGAAATAAATTACTATTGCTGTAAGCCACTGGGGTTCAGAAGTAGTTTGTTATGCTCAGTTATCACAGCAGAAACCTATTTAATACCAGAAGTAAGGTGCTACAGAAACACAAACTGACAATGTAAGTCACTGCCCTTGGAACTCTTAAGAAGTGATTACAAGACCTGGACACTGTTAGCCATTGGACAAACAATTGATATATATGGATTCTAAGACAGCCATGTACCAAGAATGTTCAGCCTTCACCGCTCTTGAATCATATGATAAAATCTATGAAAACAACAATGAACTGAAGAAAAGGTGGGTCTCTCCCAGGAATCCCTCTCCATATATAAGACAGCCTGTCATCCAGGCTAAAAGTGATCTCATGTGGATCTCAAAACCTTTTATAAGCAGGGCTTATTGAAAAGTATTCTTTAAAAATTTTACATTTAGGGAAAACAGCGTACTGAGGAGATAAGTATTTTGCCCAAAGTCATAAAATAGCACAAAGAATAAGCCATGATTTCCTGCTGAAGTTAAAATGTGACTCCAACATAATCCCTGCAGGACACAGAGCACCCCAAGGCGGGCTGGCTCAGGACACAGCATGCTCGTGTTATTCAGACTAAAAGGGACCTTGAGAACTCATCTGTCTTCCCAAACACCTTTCGCTAAAATCAGGAAGCCTTTTTTCTTACAAATTAATTTTCTCATCAAATGCAAAGAAAGAAATGAAAAACAAGTTCCTCTGGAAGCAATCTGGCAAAATACCGTTTGTTTCTTTATTATTGTTGCATGATTGGGAGAAAATAATGTGCTTTTTGATCATTATAAAAATATTTTTCCAGAAGCTGATAAGTAACTTTCTCCATTCCAACTTTGTAGTTTTACAAATGTGACTCCTTCCCAATTATCATCCCTTGCCGGCCCTTCTTCTGTGACCAGGATGGTGCCAGCCCATCCTCTCTCTACCCTCCTTCTTGGCCGGGGGCGATCAGACGATCACAGGCAATTGGTGTGTCACAGATCTGCTCTTTCCTATAGCAACTCTGTTAACTTTACTTTCCATAATGCTTGGGTTCAAATTATACAGTACGTGGCCATTAAATCAAGGTCTTATTCTGAGCTCACCTATTTAAGGAAAATTAAACAGACACAGCTCTTGGCTAGAGTGTCATAGAACAGACAGCAATTTTCTTTCACCCCCGTGGCCCAGGCAATCATGTGAATAGGAACACTCTGACAACTCCATTAGCAGAATTACTCAATCGAATTTCACCATCCCTTGCCTCCTTTTACACCAGTTGTCCGGGCAGCGATAACTCTAGCCTCATCTTTATTTATTGTTTCTCTTCTTGCCCAAATGGCAGCTGTTTCATTCTACCCTTAAAGAACTATGGTAAGAACTTTGCCTCTGTGTGCCAGTACACGAGAATGCACACTTTGCGCATCTAAGAGTTGTTTTAGGATTAAATCATTGGCCCACATGTAAGGGAAAAGAGCCAGAATAGTCTGTTGCATACTTCATGTCGTGAGCTGGTGATATATTTCCGGGACACGCGATCTGGTTTTATCTATTTTTTGACAATCCTCCAGTTGTTTAGACAAACACTTATCGAAGGTTTGACACCAGGATGGGCTAAAATGATGGCTAATGGGCTGAGCCATCAACAAGTACATCCTAACCTCTGTTTAGATACGTGAAACCACTGCCGTATGAGACAACTTGAGGAAGCATTTACCACCTCTGTTAACAGGTAGTCTTTGTAGAAGAGAGGTGTCCTGGAAAATTACTCTGTAAAGTATCATCTGAGAAGCGAAGGAAAAAAAAAACAAAACAGAAAAAATTCCTTGTAAAAAAATAAAATGTTATGTAAAAGGGCTTTTATTTATATTCACTGTTTTGGGCTTTTATTTATATTCACTGTTTTGGTCCTTATGAATATTCATGTCCATATTCTTTTGAAATATTATATTTATTTAATCTGAAAGGCCAATGCTTCAGATGAGAAAAACTCACACAGGGAAAATGAGTGAATTATTCATCTAAAAACAAATATTGTTTTGGGACTCCGTTTTGTACTTGTGTATTCAAAATCTACATAAATCAGCATCCACTGCAGCCTTGCATTTGTGCAGTGGGCTCGAACCACAAAAAGAGCCACCGAGTTCTAAACGCTTCTGTTTGCTTTTTGCTCTACTCTGGAAGAAGGAAGTCTTAGTAGATGGAATGCATATTGCTGGGCTGTAAAAACAAATCACTCAGGCATTCATTCGCAAGGCTTTCTTGAAAGACTTAGTCCTTCCCACTCAGCGATCCACTTCAACCCACTAGCGTGGGGCCACGGGGTCCCACATGGGTCTCCTCTGTTCGTGGACACAGCAGCTACCAGGATGGGCCGATTCCACGACAGAGACTGAGCCACCATCACCTCCCGCACCCACAGCAATGGCAGGTGTGCACGGAACTCCGAGGTTCTGGCCGCATGTGTCGTGCTAAATCTCATCTTTCGTTCTCTTGATTGTCTCAGGCTTATGTCACCCTGACAGCATGGCCCATGCATCAGACAAGCGTCACTTGATCACTGCCACCATGAAAACCAGGAACAAACCACACACATTGACAGGTTTTGCCCTGCATGACTTTAAACTCACTTCTGGTTTTTGATACACACAGTATCAAAACCACTGTCATTCTCTTATATTTTTGTTATATAATTTTGTTTTATTTTTCATTTTCAAACAATTAAAATCACTTCAAAAACAAGAAAGCATAGTACTGTCTTTTGGCTGAGGAATATTTATTTTCAAAATTATAACAATCCTTTTGTTACTAAATATGCACACATATATACGAACTCCTGTTTGCTTAAGCAATAGGGGCCCACAGAGCAACGTTAACTAAACAAAAAGGGAACATGTCACACTCAGAATACTTTCACAGTCCTCTCTTTGGAAATGTGACACCAAAACAGATTCGACTGGCTTTAAGGAAACATTTCCATTCTAGATGCTGAAACGTTTGACATTTAGTTTTGTGTTTTGCTTCACTGCACCCATTCTATTTTGTTTTCTGGACCATAAATAATTTTGATTTTGTCATTTAATAAACACATTTCTTTATTTCAAAGGCTGCCTCTGACCCACTTTTAATACATACCAAGGAATGCCAGGCGGTCCCAGGATTTGGGCCAAAGGGCAGAGTGCAGCGTGGTCAGCCAATTTTGTTTCTGGAGGCCAACCAGGTGTTTTTCTCAGTTCCAGTAGCTGAGACAACCGCAATTGATCACCTCTGCCTCGGGATCAGGGCCAAAACCTCAGTGAAACTTTCCTCACACTGATGTGTGTATGTGTGCGTGAGTGTGTGTGCCCATGTGATGTGTCTATAAAACTCCAGTGAGTTTAGACAGAAAATACTCATGTATCATTTTCCTCTCTCCTTGAAACGCCATCCTCACACTTAATTTGTGTGTGTGTGTGTGTGTGTGTGTGTGTGTGTGTGTTCAATTATATTTGTTCCCCACGAGTAGCTGTAATTTCACAACCAGCTGACCTTGGTACCCGCCTTCACGCCCAGGGGCAGTCACACCCTGTGCTCACTGGAGCTCCCTTCTGCTACAGAAACACTGCAGCCTCCCACCGGGCTACTTCCTCTCAGCTAAAAATCCAGAAAGCACTTGCTCAAACCTGTGATCCATCGCACTACCACATCCGACCATTGAAAGGTAAAGAGACTGAATCACCAGAGAAAAGCACCTCGATGAACTGCACAAGCCCTGCCAGCCTCGCCTGAAGGTGGGGACCTGAGCCTGCACCACAGCAGACCCCTCTCGAGTCTGAGCTCAGGCCAATGCCAGCCCAAGACTGCAGAACTGACATGGCTTAGGGATAATGAGCAACATGAGGAAGCAGAGGGCTAAGGATCCATACGAATGGCTGGTTTCTCCCTGCCACCCATACGTACAGACCTCGATGTGTGTGCCACATGCTTTCACGGCTAACTCCTGCACTATGTAACCCATCACAACCTTATGGTAACTTTTACTAGAGAACATCACAATCTACAAATCCACAAAACACAAGCTTGGCACCGAATAGTCTCCGACAAGAGTGCATTTGAATGATCTATCATCTCCACTGCCTTTTGTTGCTGGGCCCAACTCTGTCTCTTGGAACTCACCAGTCATCAAGACCGAAAGACCAGACTGGAGGCCAGAAAGGACTATGCAATGCTCAGAGAAGGGGCGTCCCAAAGACCTTCCCCTGGGCCTGGGTGACTATGGCCACAGCAAGTGACTGTGAGGTGGGAAAGGCATTGTGACACCACAGGTCCCGTTCACACTCTGCAGTGGTCTGATCCTTACTTGGTGACAATGAGGCCCACAGCAGGGGCTAACGCACAGCCTCACATCTGTGATTCTGGCAAGAGAGGGAACGCTGCCCTGCCTAAACGTGCGGGCTGCCACCAACTGAACAGCAAGGTTTGGTTAGGCAGAGGAAGGGCAGTAGATCAGTTTTCATTTGATGACTGTGGCCACTGGCATGGATTCCATTTCTTTTGCTCTTTTTCAAGAAATATGGTTGTAACCACCTTTACACACCAGGAGCAGGGATCAGTTGTTTATTCATCCACAAGTCTGGTCTCGTTTGCATGTTGTGTCTGGCTGTTGCCTTCCTAACGCATCAACTGTGTTGGAAGAGTCCAGGCTACAGAGGGTGGTGTCCCACGGTTTAGGAAGGGGACTTGAAGGGTACAGGCACATTTCCTGCACATCCCAGATGTTGGGATGCTGTGAGCATGGTGTGGTCCTGCTCTGTGAATCCTCCTTGAGGTGGGCACACGCTGACATCAGGGAAGAAAGCCCAGGCAAAGGTGGGCTCAAGACCGAGTAGGTCCATGGCTCCAGTAACAGTCCACACCACCTAACCTTGTGTCAGCTGTATCCTTCGGAGGGAACTTTGGAGTTACTGCCATTTTTGAAAATACCATCTCTTTGGTGGGGTGAATGTAAACACCTCCTATGTCACAACTCTCCCTCAAGGACATTCATTCACCAGCTACCGAGTTTTCTAAAACTCAGACTCGATTTTTTTATTCTATATCAGAACAAGGTAATTTCTTCTCAGACCCTACCATACTTTTAAGAAATGTAATTTTTAAGTTGACATTTTTTAAAAATCCATGATCACGATGAAAAGCATCAGCATCTTAAGGAAGTCATTTCTTTTGTTGAACAGTAACTTCCACTTTTCCCCTTGGGTTGCCAACGTTCTGTGGCCTGCGTGAGTAAGTGTTACAGGTAGTCCCATCAAGTTCAGGCCTGGATTGTGCCCGGGGAGCTGGGATGTCTGAGGGGACCAGCCCTTGTTTGCTGGCAGCTTGGGTCCTCTCTGTCTTCCTGTAGAAGTTGCTAAGAAAACAGGTGACAAATGAAAGCACAAGCTTGGAACCTCTGCAGAAGCCCAGTAAAGGGAGGAAATGCAAATGCCAATTTTTAAAAAATTTCTTTAAAATGTGCCTATTACTTGTCAATAAAAAGATGCTGAAAGTCATCTATAAGAACATGAAAAGGTAAAGTTTCATAAACCCTCTGTCATCCTTGCAGGCCTTAAATCCCCAAAGGAAGTCAGACTCCCTGCACACATAGAAACTTTCTTCTGTCTTCCCTTTAAAAATGGGGCAAGGGTTTTCTGACAAAACTTTTCCACCTCAGACCTAGGATCAAGATTTACCAAAGAATCTTGGTTTCCTTAAAGAGAAGAATACACAGAAACTAGAAACTGGGATCTAGGAGGAGCAAGTTCAGTGCACCATTTTATTTTGGGTTACTTTCTGTGACCATGGTAAAATGAAAGTATGGAGACATACACTATACATGCTGAGTTGGTAGCAACTCCTCCAAGGGACGCCAGCTCCACACAGTGTCCTCACCTGGCTCAAGCGGGACGTGTGCCTCTTCTTCCATACGGACAGCTATTAACACCACCAGGTGTATTTTCTGCGTTCCCCAACACACGTGATTCATGACTTCCTCAGCTACTATGTCAATCTAACTGCTCAAAACAGGCTAGGTTCAAAGCATGTCTCCAATTATTTTGTTATTAGAAATTTTCCATAAGGACGCGGGGTGGTGTCCTCGAATCAGACTTTCTTTTTGTGTTGTTATCAATATTGCATAGGTTTAGGTCAATATGAGGATTTGATTCTTTTCTGCATCTTTAATTCCTTAATATATGGGAATAAAATTCAAAACAATATATCAAATATATACACTTTTTCAATGTTTAAGTTTTAAAAAAATACACTTTATTTGTGTTAGTACTTTTTCAGTACATAACAATTAGCTTTATTGGGGAGCTTGGGTACATGTATATAACCATCTTAATTCTTTTTACTTCCACTGCCCTAACCCTCCACTCCCCCTTTCCATCTCTAAAATCCCTTTCCATTTACAAAAGATCTATTTCCTGTTATCTACAGGAAATTTGTTCTTTAAATTATTTATACTTTGGATTTCTCGTATAAAAGAAACCATGTAATTTTTTTGTGTATGCGTATCAGGGATCGAACTCAAAATCTTGCACTTGCGAGGCAGATGTGGTGCCAATGAACTAAATCCCTGGCCCAGAAACCATGTAATGTTGAAGCTTGTGTGTCTGATTGGTTTCACTTGGCACTGTGGTCTCAAGGTGCGTCCATCTTCCTCCAGATGACTCAAGTTTATCCTTCTTCGAGGCAGGGCAGTACTCCATTGTGTATAAATTCCACATGTTCCTTATCCATTAACCCGTTGATGGATATATAACCTGCTTCCAAGATATTATGAGTTGTGTCCCTTTAAACATGGGTATGCATGTTTCACTGTAATATTATTTCTTTAAGTCTTTCAGGAAGATACTTAGAAGGGGAATAGCTGGGTTAAATGGAATTTTTATTCATAGTTTTTGGAGGAATATCCATATGATTTCCATAATAGTTGTACTAGTTTACATTCCCATCAATAATGTAGAAGGGTTCCTTTTTCTTTCTAGCCTCATCAGTATTTGTAATTCTTTGATTTCTTGATAGTGGTCATTATTTCTGGAGGAAGATGGGATCTCAGTGTTGTTTCAGTTTGCATTTCTTGAACGGCTGCAGATGTTCTGTATCTTTCACATACTTATTGCCCATTTATAGATCTTTCTCTTCAGCTTCATTTCAGTTATTTGTTTTTCACCAAATATTTTATGAGGGTTGTCTAATTTTTTGTTTGTTTCCTTTGCTGTGCAAAAGCTTTTTAATTTGTTGACTTCAGATGTTATCTCTTCTGCAACTGAGTTTCTGTTCAGAAAATCCTTTGCTGTGCCTATGTTTTCAAGAGTTTTACTTTATTTTGGTGAGACATATGGTTCAGGATTCAATCTTCTGTGTGTGGATAGCCAGCCAGTTTTCCCAGCACCATTTATTCAAGAGGCTTTGTGCAGAGTATGTTTTTGGCCCCTCTGTCAAAGATTAGATGGATAAATGTACTGAGTACATACATTTTTTTATCAATGACTTTCTCATGAAAACATAGCCTCAATTTTGGCTATCACATTTAATTTGGATTGATTTCACTGATTATTTGCCTTAGACTTTTAATAGCTTTAATTTCTCTCATTTAGTGACGTGCTTATTCACTTATTTTTGTAGGCTCAGCCTATCTTTCAGTTCAGGAAGATTTCAATTGTAAATCCGTATCAATACCTTCTTGCATCTTTTTTTCATTTTCTTCATAAAGGTCATTTTTCTACTTACCTGGTATTATAATATCCCCTACTTTTTCAATATGTGCATTTAACTGATGCACAGTTGCCTCATTCCCTTTAAAATTTTTAATCTGCTATACTAAAACCAGTTTTAGATGTACTGAATAAAATGCAAAGGTAGCAGTGTTCCCAGTGCTTTGTACCCCTTTCTCCTCTTATTAATGTCTGGCATCAGCATGATACATCTTTTACTTTTAATGAGTCAGTATTCATTCATCACCACTCATTAAAGTACATAGGTCATTCACACTGCCATAGTTTTTACCCCATTTCCTTTTACTGCGGTAAGATAAGAATTAGTCCTCTTATTTCTTTAGGGTCTTGTACCTGACAAATCCTCAAACTTTTCTTGTTTTCAGTGGCCTTGACAGTTTTTCATGTCACTAATAGAGTATTTTGCAGAAATTTCCTCCAGTGAAATGTGTCTGTTTTCCTCATGGTTTTACAGTACGTTGGAGAGAAGGAACATCAGGGGAAGAATGTCACTCCTCTAACATCAAGCCATGGAGCACACTGCTGCCATGACTTCAGCTGTGGACAATAACCTGGGTCATCGCGTTGAGCTTGTATGTCAGAATTCTCCTATGGGAGTTACTCTTTCCTCTCACTTTTCACACTGCACTGTTTAGCAGGAGGTTGTCTGTGAAGCCCAGAGTTAAGGAGTGAGGAATTAGTTCCTGTTTCTTAAAAGCAGGATCAACATGAACTGTATGGGATTCTTCCTCACAGAGGACTGAACCATCCCTCAGTCATTCACTTATTAAGTCATGCATTCATGTCACTTGGACTTTCTGTTGCAGATCTGTTCTAGTTTAGATCTAAAATATGCCCCTAAAGTCCCAAGTGTTCAGAGGTGGGGCTTTGGGGAGCTACCCGGATGATAAGCAGGCTATACTCCTCAGGGAGTTACTCCACGCATGAGTTCACAAGGACAATGCTGTTAGGAGGTTGGCCTTGTTGGAGGAAAAGGTCGCAGAAGGTTTTCCTTTAGTGTCTCTCCCCAACTCTCTGGCTCTTCCTGCTCTCTCTGCTTCCTGGATGCCATGAGTTGAGCACCTTTCCACCACCAGGCCCCTCCACCATGATGCTTCTGCCTCGGAGGCAGTTGACCATAGACTGAACTCTCTGAAATGGTGAGCCATTTTAAGTTGTGCATTTCAGGTACTTTATCCAGGTAATTTAAACACGACCAATTGTGTTAGTTTACTCTCCATGCTGAGACAAAAACACCCAAAGTTAAAGGGGGAATGGCTTATTTGTCTTACTGTTCCTAGAGGTTTCAGTCCATGATCAGCTGCCTCCAAGGCAGGATGGCAGAGGGGCAACAGTTCATGGTGGTGAAAGTAACAAAATCAGTAAGAGACTTTAACAGTGTCTTTCTGCTTCTTTTATCTAATTCAGACTATGGGGATTAGAGCGGTGCCAAACCAAGCACTCATATGTAGTGGTTTAGTAAACACTTGCCCTTAATTCTAGAATCATGAACTCTAAATTCACCCACCTATGACTACATGAGGCTTTGGGTGGACATCTAGACCCAAACCATAACACTACTTCAGGATCATAATATTATACTACCTTGTTTATTTTGGTATTAAAATTCTTTCATTTTTTATTTTCTCTAGGTAGATGGTTCATTTTAGAGCTGGAGCAGGAAGTAAACAGAGTAAGATTTGGGCCTCTTGCACTGTAAGCAAGTACATAAAAACAAAATAAAGCAAAATCCCACAATGACAGGCATGTCAGGGGCACAGAGAGCTCCCCCTTTGTCTGCCTTTCTCTACTGGGCTGAATTTCTTAAAAACAGCACACAGCTGGGCTGTTTTATATTTTTTATTTTTATAGTTAGTATATTTTCAGAAAATACTATAATTATACATACTGTTCTAACACACTGGTCTTTATTTTCACTTTAGTCTTATATCTACAGTGCATCCATGAAATTTGGAAACAGATAATTATGTCTTTATCATTATTACTCTACAAAATGGCATAACCTAAACACATTGTGACTATTCACTATGCTTCTGGACTTCACAGATACCTTGCAGAATTCAATATATTCACTGAAATCAGCAGTCCCTTTGTCTAAGTTCCCCAGTCATCTGTTCTTACATAAATCTCTTAGTATGCTGCTGCTCAAAGCATGGCCAACAGATGAGAAATAGTGAAAAATTGACAAATTTGTGACAGAATTAAATGAATTATTCAATGAACCACAGTTAGCTCCACTTTGTTATTGTTGTTACTCTTTCTTTTTATTTTCCTTCCTTTTACTTGCCTTACTGCCTTTCCCTTGCTTTCCTTTCCTTCCTCTTCCCTTCCATTCCCTTCCTTTCATTTCCCTTCCCCTTCCTTTCCTTTGCAGGCAAAGATTTTATTTATCAAGTCATACAATGAGTTACTTTCGGAAACAAGGTCCTTATCTTCTCAAAGCCCTCTGATATGAACAGTCCCACTGGACTCCCCTGGAAGCAACAAGGAGTATGATATCACTTGAACTTTTGATTCTTTGGAGATAGTTTGGCTGATATGAGAAAATGAAAAAATGGAAATAAAGTGTTTGTAAATGGGGAGGGGAAGAGGGGGTAAAGGGTGGTCAGGGACAAGGCGAAAAAATGAGAACCAAAAACTGTCATGTAAAGTTTCAAGATCCCAGGAATGAATGTAAACTGTACTGTATACCTAGAATGTACCAATAAACTCAATAAAAAGAAAAAAAGAAGACAGTTTGGCTGGATATAAAATTGCATGCTAACATAAAGTCTATCCTTGAGTTTCTTAAAATATTATTACATTCTATCTATTTTATTGTGCTGCTAGAAAGAATATGGTGTCGATCCAATGTTATTTCCTTTGTAATTAATGTCTTTTTGTATGAACACTCTGAAGTTGTGCTCTTATCTTTAAAATACAAGTAGAGTTAGTCAGGAGTGTTTTGGAACTGACTATTTTAGGTCAATTTTCTCAAGTACTTTGTAGGGCCTTAGAAGAATAGACTCAGGTCTTGATTAATTTCCCCAAGATTTCTGTACTGTGGTACTAAAACATTAGAGCTGTATGTTATCTTTGACAAATGGGCCAAGTCCACTCAATGGAGAAAAAATAGGCTCTTTAACAAACAGTCCTGGGGAGACGGTTATCCACATGCCAAAAGTTGAAACTAGACCTATATTTCTCATCATGCAGCAAACTAAAATCAAAATGGATCAAATAGCTAAATATTAGAACAGAAACACTTAATCTGATAGAAGATGAAATAAGTAAAACTTTTAAAGATGTAAGTGCAGGCAAAGACTTTCTGAACAGAGCACCAGTTGCACAAGAAATAATACCAAGAATCAACAAATGGGATCACATCAATTTAAAAATCTTCTACACAGCAAATGAAATGACCAAGAAAGTGAAGAGACAGCCTACAGAAGGGAAGAAAAATTTGCCAGCTATTCCTCTAACAAAAGACTAATATCTAGAACATATAAAGAACTCTAAAAACCTTGACTCCCCAAACATAAATATCCAAATAAAATGGGCATCTGAAAGGAATAGACTCTTCTCAGATGAAAAACTACAGTCAATAAATACATGAAAAAATGTTCACCATCACTGGCCATTAAAACAACTTAGATTCTACTTCTCCAGAAAGAATGGCTATTATTAAGAAATTAGCCAATAACAAATGCTGGCCAGGATGTGGGGGAGGACAGAAGCTTTGTTGTTGGTAAAATTGCAAATTGATGCAACTACTATAGAAACAAGTATGGAGATTCCTCAGAAACTAAAATAGAAATTCTATTAGACCCAGCTATTCCCCCTCTAGGTATCTTCCCAAAAGAGTTAATGACATAATACTACAGTGATACATTCATACCCATGTTGATAGCAATGCAACTCATAATAGCTATTCTACATTTATAGCAATGTGATTCATAATAGCTCGATCTTGGAAACAGTGTATGTGTCCATCAACAGATGAATGTAAAAATGAAAGGGAGGAAAGGGGGAAACAGATTTGAAATGTGTTATGTACACGTACCGATTCTCTACAGTGAATTTAATCATTATGCACTCCAAAAATGTACTAATAAGAGTCAAGAAAATAAAACTAAAATATTAGTGCTGTTTTATTACATTGCTTTTATTTTCAAGGACTCCAGTTACGTACATGTTCAATGTTTCTCATCTTTTATTTTTATCCTCCCTTATCATTTTATCTCTATTTGATCTCAATTCTCTTGGCTATTTTGTAGTCTTCTATATCCTTTATTATATTTTCACAAAACCTATTCTGCCCTAGGCACTTTGTATGCTCCTTTAGTCTTCTTTGAAATTAATTAATTCTCATTTCATATTCCCTCGTTCTTTTTATACATTTTCCTCAGGTTTTGAATTTCTAATTTAACTTTTTTTTTTACAATGAATTCTTTGAAAGAATATGCATTATTTTGTAGTTTTCTACAGTTTTGAGAAAAAAATCCATTTTGTTTGGTAGGGTTTTCCATTTGAGTTTCCTGATGGCTTTTTAGAGAAGCTTTGTACAAACACTGTCTTCCAGGTTCTGTTCATTTTCCTGCAGAAACAACGCCGTGCATAGGTAGGCAGGAAAGAAGAGGCCCTTCTTATTTTGATATAATCTTGTTTGTACTTCCTTAATCTACAGCTCTTTGGGAAGAAAAGAGCAGGTCCGGGTTTTCTCACTTCTGTTTCAGTACGACTTTAATTTCTACTTTTATTATTCCCCCCCACCCATTCTGCATTTAATAAACACTCTCTCCTCTCCCCCTTGCCACAAAAAATTACCTCCAAGACTGCAATCCCTACTCCTGAAAACTTTTGAATAACTTCCTGTAAATTCTCCACGAGTCAGTTTTCTGATTCAACAAGTTTCGCTAGGCAGGTTTTATCTCTCTGGAGATGTTTTATCATTTTTAGTTTCCCACCCCAAGGCTGTCCCTGTGGTGTCCTCTGTGGTCCACTCAGGCAGTCTCCAAATGTCGCTCTGCCGGTACAAGTCCTTCGTATGACAGTTTGTTCTCCATCACTGCATAGGAGTTTATTTATCTCTCTTTTTGTTATGCCTTTGGGATAGTTATGGATTGTTTCATTTTCCCTCACTGATGTCAATTTTTTCCAAGAAATGGGGAAGAAACTTAAGATTATGAGGCCACCTAAATGGGGGCACAGTGATATTAGAAACTGTACTGTCCTGTTTTTATTTCCAAATGGTTACACTCGTTAGACATTATATTCCCACTGATTTGAAATTATATTTGAATGATTTCTATTCTAGCCATATGTCCATTTTTATTCTGGTAGCCTAATCTTACAATTATTATATCTTAATCCCATTTTAATATCACAAAAATTCAAGCAATCTTCTTTATGTAACTTCCCTGGTGATCCTTGTCTGTCACCTTCTGTATTGATGTTAGTCACATGTGATTTACCTCCCCATAGTGTGTGTGCCTTGCGGTTCATTGTGCACGCCATTTGGAAGATTAAAGACTAAAGAAATATGAAACAGTTTTACGGAGCACTGAATCTTCATATGCAGGAAAATGCTCTATCTCTTGACCCATTAACACTTACTTCTTTAAACTTTTATAGCTTTCTCTGAAAGGAATTGTAATAGTGTGTCTTAGGTTCATTCTTGACATATTATTAATATAACAATATATTGCTAGATACATCACTGTTACCATAAGTAGTGCTGCTAGACCATTATATTTGCTAACTTTTTGTTACTGGAAAACGCCGAAGCTCAACAACTAAGGGAAACTCTCCATTAACGCTAAGTACTTAAAGTACACCTCTTTGGTTTCTCAGAGGGTAAAAATAAAGAAAATGAAATCAATGAATGTATTGCCCATTACTGTAAAAGAGGTGCCTTCTATGCAGTATCTGATGCGTTTTAACAAATTCATAGAGTACATGGTATTAACAGCCACAGCTGAAAGATTATATATTAATATTTGGAAAGGTTAAAGAATCTCGCCAAGCTCACTCAGCTGCTATGGTCTTAGGTCAGTGTAGAAAGTGGCCACAGTTGAGGATAACCCTTACTCTTTCCTGTACAGCCTTTAAATGACCCCTTGTTTACTGTCTGGACAGATAGGGCATTCTCCAACATGCTTCATTGTTCAGCCTTCATCTTTATCAGTGCTGCAACTTGGAGGGGCCATTTCTACAAAAATGTTAACGCTTCTGTCAAACATTTTATATTCTGTCAAGGAAATTTTCTTACTATTACTTACTAAGAGTTTCCTCTCCATGCACGGGGACTGAAACCTCTGAATGGCTTTTGAGCATGTATCAAAGTGGCTTTCTATGCTTTGGTAGGTTAAGATATTAAACACACTAAACAATAGTATTACAGTTTCTAATGTTGAACTTTCTTGGCAGTCTGCACCCCCCAAAAAAAATCCTATGTAGTTTTTCATGGTACTGTGACCTTGGAAATTTTTTTAATCCCTATAGACATGCTACACACTCTTATATAAAATGAGAATGCTATCAATATCACTACACTCCTAGAAGACTTATCTATTCACTTATTCCATAACCTATTTGTTTTATTATTATGTTGTAGGTCCTCTTCTAGGTACTGTTATTAAAACAGTGGGAAAAAGAGAAAAAGATTCTATTCACTAATATTGAGTTAATCAGACAACGTAAGAACTCAGCACTTCAATTAGAACATAGAAGCATCTAAATAGGTCTTAGCTACCATTAATATATACTTTCAATACA